CCGTAAAACCAAATGAGACTAACGAGGTACAGGAGTCCAGTGACAAGGGCCAGAAGGCAGAAGGGGACAAGGAAGCTGGTGATAGGGAACACAAGCTTGGGGAAGGATATTGTTGATGTGTTGTGAGACTGTTAACCATTGTCATAGGGCAACATTTGTAGTAACCATTAAATGAGAAACTATTTTGTTCTGTAAGCCTTCATCTTGAGTGAGAATAACAGCACAATTGGAAGAGCATAGTCAATGTCACTGAACTGTGCATGTAGAAATTTTTGAAACGGTGTATCTTTGGCTATGTGGATTTTCACCAAAAAAAAAAAAAAGATTGAGAATTTAGAGAGTTAATATGTTGTGGGGTTGTTAACCAATGTCATAAAACAACATGTGTACAGTAATAAGAAGGCCTGTAAAATGTTTCCACTTTTAAACATCCTGCAACTCTATAGCTGCATAACAATTGACTGAGAAAAAGAGATGAGTGTTAAACAATGCACTTCCTCCTCATTCTTCACCATAGCTAACTACAGTCTCCATTATTCACAAAATGAACACATTAGTATTGCTAATTCTCTTTTATAAATGGAATCAAAGAAGAAGAAGAATGAAAAATACAGAGAAAACTTCTCTAAGGTTGCTACGAGTCAGAATCGAGCGGGTGGCAACAGGTTTGGTTTCTTTAAAGTCCATGGTCTATACCTGTGCAATAAACTGTTCACAGATTTCATTGTTGTCTTCCTCACAGTTCCCAGAGGCATAAAATTTTCTGCACACCTGGATTTGGGCTTTCCCTTGCACAGGTTGGCCATGGGTGTACCTAGTAGGAGAGAGAGTACTTGTGATTACAGATGGACAATATCACATTTTATAGTCTTCCTCAGAAATTGCATTTGAAATCCCTAAGCCATGAGTACTGTAACCTAACCAAGTTTAATTAGAAACCCTCACCTATTGGTGCTATCTTCCCACAGAATTTAGGTTAAATTGGGCATTTAATATATTTTTTAATGAAATTCAAATTAATGTAGAATCTAAAGTAACCTAGGACCTCAGTGAATAAGATACAACAATTAAATTGAGCTTTGGAAATTATATTTAAGTCTTCTTATAGAAGTATTTTCAAAAACTGGTAGCTGTACTTTCTTTTCTTAACAGAAATACATACATATATAAACCAAAATCGAGTAATTCAGAATCTTGAAGTACTGGGTGAATATACCCAAAAAACCAAACCCATTGTCATCAAGTTGATTCCAAATCATAACGACCTTTGTTTTTGATTTCAAAAACTATTGGTGGAGACTAACACAGTTTATTAAAATCTCTTTGCCTGTAGACAAGTTTTCTTCCTTCTGAAAAGCCTAATTTATCTCCAAAGTTGTTTGTGAAAATTATCTAATTTGCTGTTGTTTTCCAAAGCTGTTCCAGACCAAATTCCAAGGAATACAAAAGATACAAAGCACAGGCACAGTATTACACAACTTGAAGTAAGCAACTCATTCATTGACATTAACATCGACACATACTGGTTTCATTCATCATGCTTAGAAATCTTGTTGCAAAGATCGCTCCTATTTTAGTTGTCTGGTCATGTTGCGGGACATTATTATGGCTGATACTGACTTACTACTTATTGTCAAATCTATCTGAATGTAATGATAAAAAAGTTTCAGGAAGTCAAAATAATGGATATTGATCCCACATGATGTTAAGGCACAACAAAATTCCATGTTAGCATTTAGCTTAGCAAGGCTTTTATAAAAGCCCTATTTATAAACATTTTGACTCTCCTGATCGATGTATTGTACTTTTCTAACGTGCCATTGGGTAGGTAAACTAATCAGAGAAGTTAATTGCCGTGAAAATTCCTGGCTTTGTGTAGAGTTTTTCTGGTGGAACCACTCTAGGATCCTGGATTTCTTCAGGCCTATACTGATCATCCCATGATTTTTAACATAGATAATCTATAATTGGAAAATATTCATAAAAGATTGTTGTTGCCATCAAAAGATAAGAGGAAAATAAATCACAATGTTAATGGCAGAGGATAAAATTGTATTTTTTGTTTTTCTTTATATTTTTCAAATATTCTACAATGAGCAGTCGTTACTTCTCTTTGTAGTAATATGTACCTATATAGTGTATGTAAGTATATAAATAAAGTTACATGATTAATCTCATTTCTCATTTTCTCTGAGCTTTGTATTGACCTGTGGGACAAATCTCCTTAATAAATACTTACTTAGCACATGCAGCCACTTGGAATTCATCATCTGAAATAGTTATTGTTTTTGGTACATCGACCTTAACTTCAAACTTGGGCAAAACTGGAAACAAAGAAAAATATGCTCACTTCAGCTCCCACAATTACTGGTGAACAAAGAGTTTAATTGCAGTCATGTAGGTAGATATACCTCCATGCACAATGTTTTCCTATATACACATCTGTATAGTCCAAGTTTCCATTACCTAAAATTCTCTGCAACATCAATCTACCTCAGTACCTAATGGTTTTTCATTAAAGATTAATTTTTCCCCCTTTCCTTTCTCTTTCCTATTCTCAAAACTTCACATTTTATTTGTTGTAATCCCTCAAATCCTTCCTAGAAGATTGTCTATACTCCAGAAAATGGAAATTTCGTAGGGAGAAAAGGCAGGGACCAGAATAAAGGTATCTGCTAGGAGTCAGGAGAAGAAAAGGAGAGATGATAAAGCATAAAAAGTCAAGAAAGGAAGATGATGGAGAACCAAATCCAGTCTCACCTACTTTTGCCTAAGTCTAGCATAAAAGCTGTTTGTTCAGTCCTTTGAACTCTTTATTTATATAGAACAGCCATAAATAGCATAAATAGCAATTGGTTACCCTGTCTATTAACAGTAAATTGGTGTCTCACTGTCTTTCCTGATTTTCTTTTCACAACAATTGAGTAATCTCCCAACATTGGTTCTGAAGTCAACTGGAATGAAAGCTGGGTAATATTTTGGAAAGAAGTCAAGTTTTGCCATTGAAAAATCCTATTGTTTTGAGGATCCTAGAAAATAAAGATATAAAAAAAAAATCAGAAGTTGCATGAAGAATATTATCCTTTTCTTCTTTATTGTAGGTCCTTTGTGCAATTAATGGAAGTAAAAAAGTCCCTAGCATTTTAGTGAACCATTTGTCTCAAATTGGAAAAACAACATAACTTTCTCAAGGTATGCAAATTTGATTTTAGAGCATATCTTTCTTAAGCCTAAAGGATAAGGAAAAATAATTTGTAACTCATATTTTGATTTTCATCTTTTTGAACCAGAGTGCATAATAAAAGAATTAAAAACTCCATGTGCATGCTCTAGAATAGTGCTCTTCAAAGAGGGGTGGACACACACCAAGAGGTGTACAGGGATACATATTCTAACAAAGACTTATACAGATTGACACTGGTTTTCACTTGGTCCGTTCGTAAGTTGATCTTGAGTTACGTACTGCATGCAAAAGCTGCTGAATGCAAATTCCACAATAAGAAAGGGTTAATAACAGCATCCCCTCTCTTTTATTTGGAGCCCTGGTGGTGAGGTGGTTAATTGATATGGTGCCAACAGAAAGGTTGGCAATTCAAATCCACCAGTCACTCCTTGGAAATCCTATGGGACAGTTCTGCTCTGTCCTCTATGGTCGCTATGGGTTGGAATCGACTGGACGGCAATGGGTTTGGTGTGGCGTGTTTTCTCTTTTAATTTCAGCGTAATGAATTGGATTGCAGCTTACATGAGCCTGGTTCAATAAATGTATTGATATCATCCAGCTATCCCCTTATTTCAATTATCTTAATTGCTAATTATGCATAATGAAAATTAGACACACATTATTTATCTGCAAAATTAAAATAATGGATTTGAAAAAGCAGAACTCTTACCTGAAGTGCGATTAAAGAATACTGAAAAGGGAGAAAAAAACAGGTTAATACTGTAATAGTAGATTCTTTTTTGCCAAATACTGCGTTTAAAGATTATATGACTTCTTAAGTGTTGAAACTTAGCTCTCATTTTCTCAGAAGACGAGGTTTCTATGTCTAAAGATACCAAGAAAACCCAAAATGTGACAGACATCTCAAATGTCTTCTGGGAAGTGGAAAGCAGTTTCCTTGAAACCCACTTTCTCCACATACGATGAAAAGACCTAAAGATGTATAAATTAACTCACTATAAATGAGTTTTGCCTTTAAATTTGAGATTTAGCATTGAGCTATACCCATGTAGTACTCCTTGTTAGAACCTAGTTCCATACTTGTGGAAAGCTTCCCGAAGACACTTCGTATAGCAATGGATTTAGTTACTTAATTTGTTTAAATTTCATTGTACCATTAGAAACCATTGAGCTCACCAAATCTGCAACAGGCTTGAACTTAGTATCGAACGCCACGATATGAAATTGAACGAAAAAGTAAAGAAGAGGAGGGGGAAATATTTCTCACTGTTATTTCCATCCCTCAGATACGATTATTTGTAAACAGATATAGAAATTAATTGCCTTGCTATCATAGAATACTGCCTTCCCTTTTCCTCTAGCTCTGATTTTGACCCTTTGAGATTTGGGTTCCATTTGGAAAGATCTCTTATTGAACATTTATTATTTCTTTGTTGATGATGCTCGGTTGTTACCAGAACTGACACTGGCTTCACCTAATGCTGGAAACTTTTACCCTAATAGCCCAGAGGAATATTTTAAGAATTAGTGGCAGAGTTAGTCATAGTAGGACAAATTGAAATATGTATGGTAGGAGATAAACATAATTTTCTTAGAAAAATACATTGGTATTAGCAAACAGTAACCTAATTTGAGTAAAATTCCATAAAACTATTTTAGATTTTGTGTCCATACTTGTCATCACAGTATTTCAATAAGTCCAGAAGAGAGAATATAATGCAGGGAAAGATCTTAATATAAGAATTCTACTCTTGTTGTCTTATTTCTTTTCAGTAAATCGTAATACAAAATATAAGTCAGAATAAAATGACCTAACCCTCTAATTTTGCAAATGAGGAACTCAATCCCAAAGATTAGAATTTACTTGACAAAGGTCTATAATTTGTTAATAGAACCAAGACCAGCACCAAATACTTCTGAATCCTAGCTTAGTGTTCTCTCTACTACCTTCTACTTCCCCATTGCCGTCGAGTCGATTCCGACTCATGGCGACCCTATAGGACAGAGTAGAACTGCCCCCATAGGGTTTCCAAGGAGCAGCTGGCGAATTGGAACTGTCAACATTTTGGTTAGCAACCGAGCTTTTAACCCCTGTGCCACCAGGGCTCCTTCTACTTATAACAATATAAAACAAAATAGAAGGGCTCTGTCTAGGTTTTCAGAGTTCTGATTAATTCTACTAGTATGAATATTGATAATAATAATAACTATTAGCATTATGGAGTCCTCACTGTGTGCCAGGCAATATCCCTACAAATAAGACACTTTTGTTATGCCCATTCTACAGATGAGGAAATTGAACCTAAGCAAGAGATTTAACTAACTTGCCTGACTGGTAAATGATGAAGCCAGTCTTAACCCAGATGCCAACTGCACAGTTGTACTCCATATCCTATGCTTGCAACCACTGTATTATGTAAACCTGTTGCTAGAATTTGGAAACAGTTAAAGTGGCTTGCAAAACTTTGAGTAGCATTCAGTTAACAATTCTGGGAATCCATGATCCCATAATATTAAGGGTAAATTTAATGCTACAATTTATCTGTTTGGATTGCTCTCAATTCAGAGAATGTGTTCCTATAGCCAACTTTATAAAGGTAATATGAATATTGACTCACCCTTCTCTCCGTATTTATAGATGGGTTTATCTGTCTGCACAAAGGTTACAGTCTCTTTTGAAGCAATGGCTACGGATCTCCTCTCAAAGATTTTGAGGGTATCTCCCTTAGCCAGCAATGTCACAAAAGCCAATTGTTCGGAGGATTTCGAAAGATCTATTAGTGTAGGAGAGCAGAGAATGGAAAAATCGTTTTTAGATGTTAAGATGATGAACAATGTCTTAATTTGTCTTCTCAAGCTGAAGAGAGCCTTGCAAATCCATTATTTCTTAAGAGACAATGATCACTTATTACAATTACTTTATTTAGCATGAGAACAGTTCCTAATAAATTTATTTTTATATCCTCTTCCTTTCTATTTTTTTACTTTGTTGCTCTGTGACTGAATCCTTCACCCCTTTACTCAGATTCTCTTTCCTCATAGTGTGAAACATTTCTACTACCTAAAAAGTGGTAATTATGTCTTGTTGTCATTACATATTCTGGAAGAATGGCAATATTTTACAATTTTTGTTGCATGTGTAAATTTTCCATTTATTTCTTGACTCTCAGGGATTCTCCAACTTTCCTCCCTAGCTTCCACAATTCATCAAAAATCAAGATTCATTATCTCTCTAAAAACAAATTTTAGGTAGTAATTTTATCTTCCCATCTGAAGTTCTGAAATGACCAATTCAGTGTCTCACCTTGAAATTTGCACAAGCATGGAAATTATTTTCCTCCACAGACCAGTCAAAAATAGTGATGTTGACTCCATCATATTCTAAGACAACCCTTAAGGATACAGATTCATTAAGGTTTAAAAGGTGGACACAAGCCTTTTCGGTAGAATAACTCTGTATCACAGAAGAGATCCACAGGATATATTGCCTATACAAAGAAAATAGCCAACACCCTAAACAAGTGTAGGACAAATGGAGAACGTTCATGAAAAATATATTTTAGCTTGCTGAAATATTCTGAAACATACACATTTTTTCATAGACAAGGTTATAAGAAACTTAGGTATGCAGAGAGAGGCAGCTTAAGAAAAAGATATCAATTCCCTTCATACACTTATTTAAAAGTTATAAGGCAAATCAGCACTCAATCTCAGAAGTTGAAATGGTAAAATATAAACAAATTCTAACAAATAACATATTAAATTAGGTCACTTTGCTAGTACTTTAATATCAATAAAGAGAATAATATTTCCTTATGGTTCTGAAGTCACAGCATCAGTGAAATAAACCAAAAAGGTACTCAGAAAAATGGTGAACACCATTTTATCCCACTGTCCAAACAACGAAGACTTCAAGATAAATATGCTTTCTCTCTCTGTGTTATTAGAAGTCAGCTGTCTCAACTCTCTATATTCTTTCCTTCCTTCTGCTCTGCCTCTCTCTGTATATTCTTGTTTTTACAGTCACACACAGTGGAGGATCAATTACTTTTTGGAATAAGTCTTATGGTACCCACCAATCACATTTAGATCACCTCCCCCGTTACCTCTGCAGGGAGTGTCACTTTATACACAATTTCCTACTTAAGTCCACTGGATGCCGCTGTGTTTTGGAATCATTTGCACAGGTTGGATAGGAAAAAAGAGAAAAACAAAGAAAGTAGTTGCGTGACACTTAAGATTTCATTTAGCCAACCTATTCTGTTTAATTTATCAACTGACTCACAGGGCTGAAGGTAGTATCAAAAGAATTAATACTTAGCAATTAGCAGTTGAAAGAAAAATACTTCTATGAAGAGCTGTTATTATTCCAATTTCCTGTAAGTACTTTTTTCAGGCTTATGAGCACAACAGCGTTTCATATGTTGCCAAAACACAATGCAAACAGATTTCTCAATATGGGATCATTTTAGAAATAATTGAAACTATTGTTTATTCTCTTATAATTTTATAATACAGAATACAACATTAAAAATGTTGATGTGCTTTCAACATTTACTATCATTCTCTTAGTGAGGTTTGGTTTACAATGTTCAATATTCTTTTCTACATAAATATAATGAGAAAAAAAGAAATAAAAGGTTAAAATATGTATAAGCTAGATACTTCTTGGAAAAAAACTTTGCCATCATTTTGACTGCAAAACATTTCTACAAGACAAATGAGCCAACCCAAAGAAACTAGCCAACTCTTGTCGGAGTTCTCATTGTATTACTTCTCCCATTTGTCTTGTTTTCCTTTTTTAAAAAAATATCACTTTTATTTCAAGCATTGATGGAGTTAATACACACAGCTTGAAGAATGTTCCATTTGGTAAGGAAAAGCAGGAACTGGCTTCAGTCTTTTAGAAGTGGTCCTGTAACAGAAAATACAAAGGAAAGAACAAAACCAATAATTATCGATGGGGAGCTATAATGGAAGTAGTGAGAGAAAGGCTACCATGAGATCTAAGAGATGTGGGAACAGTGTTCTGTTGTTGACCACATTTTGAATGCCAGTGCAGAATTATGGTCATGAAAACTGATCATGTCATCTTGGGATGTAGCATGTTTTCATGATCTCTCTCTGGCCAAATATAGAGTACCCTAAAGTAATTTTATCTGATTAACACAGTCTCCATATTAGTGGGCTGGAATTGATTTGATAGCATCAGGTTTTGGTATCCCAGAAAATTCAGATGTATTGAATTCTTATTGAGTGCTCATTACGTATTAGCAACAGTGCTGGTCCTAGAGATACAAGATGAATAAGACTCAATTCTCTAAAGGATTTTACCTTCTAGTAGAGAAACGAAGGAAAGATGGAAGGAAGGGAGGAAGGAAGCAAGGAAGGAAGGAAGAAAGAAATGCTTTCAAGGTTCATCTATGCTATGGCATGTATCAGGACTTCATTTCTCTTTATGGCTGAGTAATATTCCAATGTATGTATATACTACATATTGTTCATCCATTCATCTGTTGATGGACATTTAGGTTGTTTCTATCTTTTGGCTGTTGTGAATAGTGTTGCAATGAACATTGGTGTACAAGTTTTCTGTTTGCATTCCAGCTTTCAGTTCTTTTGGGTATATACATAGGATTGGGATAATAGGTTGCATTTTGTTGGAGAAAAATGTGTGGGTGAAATAAAATTCAATAAGCCTGTTGAAAAGATTGTGGCTGGTTTATGAAAGACTTTTTAGTCTGTGCTAGGAGTTTAAATGTTATCCTGAAAAATAATGAGTATAATAACTCTGGTATTCCATGGAGATTAGAAATAAGAGAAAAGAGAATACTGGTAAGAAAACCATATCAGAATCTCTTCAAAGACTATCCTAGGTAACAGGTGGTATGCAAGCTTGAACAATAGCAAAATCTCTTCAAGACATTCTTTAACTCCAATTGTTAAGACTTGAGACTGTTTTGGATATGGGATGAAGAAAAGGAAGAGGATGAGATTGATACTGATGAATGCTGTTGCAATTACATAAGAGAAAGAACAGAAAATAAATACATAGATGGATTGACGATTTACGTTTGGAATATATTAAGTTTGAGGTGTCTGCAGTACAATAAAGAGGTGATAGCCATTAGATAAAATAATAATTCCAGTACTTCGGAAAAAGAGATGTAAATGTAGATTTGGGAATTATTACCCCTTATAAGTGGCTTTTAGTACTATGAATATTGATAAAAATTATTCAGGGAAAATATTAACAAAGGGAAAGAAGATGGCCAATAGTAAGAGAAAGACAGGTGAAAATCTGGCTATTTTTCTACTCTGGCTGGGTGATATTTATTGGAGTGGGTCTATATTAGTTCATTGCCCTAATACCCTTGAGTAGAATCTAAGGTGCTTTTTTTTTAAACCATTATTTTATAGACTTTTTTTAAACAGTAAGAAAATTTGTTTTTCCCAACTGTATGATTTGTGATAGTCCATTTTAAGAGTGAAAACTAATTCATAGTTCCTGAGAACATCTTGAACTTCCATATCACGTTTATGGAATGTTCAAGTCAACACTACAAACAAAAGTATTTCCCAAGACCAGTAATGTATTGGCAATTAATTATGTTAAAAAAAATGATTGATGCAGCAAAACATTGAAAGGGAAGTAATTGTTTCCTCATGAGGGAACAACCTGCTTGGCACGCAAAATTGCCCTTTTTGTTCGCAGATGTTTATCTCTTGCAGCACTGCTAGATCGTTAGAGTTTCCAAGAAATTCCTAATGGCAATGCCCACCTGTGGATCAGTGGTTAAAAAATGTAACAGGGGAGAAAGTGGTGGGTAATGAAAGCTTGGGTGAATACTTCTGATGTGACTGGGTTTGCAGAGCCAGTTTCTTTCAACTCTGCAGACCAAGTTCAACAGTGTCAAAATATGATCTTATCCAAGGTTATTTAGGGTCAGTTTTTATCTCTTCACTTGTTTAAGGGCCAACAAATCCCAAATAATATCACTGCACTCAAGCAAACAGACAGACAGACAAATAAATAGACAAATATTAGACTGAATCTTACCAATGACTACCACCAATACAGTAGCTTAGACGTCTTTAGTTCTACAGCCCCTTTCTCCACTAGAGAAAATATTAAAAGCTTGAGGTGTGGGTGGTTAAGGTTGGGGGAGGACATGTAATAAAGGTGAAGAAAATACTGTAGTATTCATAATTCTGCAATTCATCACTGAAACCACCATACTTCCGGAAATTTTTGTGACCTGTCTTGGAGACACATGTTCCTAGCAAAATGCTCAGCTTTCAACTAATATTATCCATTCAACACAGACTTATTCACTGGCACAAAAAATGTTTTTTATGTGTGTGTCTGGTGTTGTGATTGGGTAGGTAGATAGGTAGAAATAAAGAATAATATGTGGTCCCTTTTCTTCAAAGATACAGTAATGTAATTGGTAAGATAAACATCAAAACAATTCCAGACCTGTATAAATGCTGTGATAGAGGAATATACATTTTAAGAAATTTTTCTACCTGCAGAAGGGCAGGATCAGAGAGGATTCCACAAAAGAGGTGTCACTTTGAGAATCATCAGGTTTTTAAATTTTATTATTATCTAAAAGTCAGAGGCCTTGACTCAATGTCTTATTCTATGGCCAAGACAGTTTTGCACTTTAACATGAACAACCTGGATGCTACAGCAATAAATAAAACATGGAAAAAAATAGTTTGTGAAGCTGTAGGGCTGGAAACAATTTTGAATCTGGAACCTGGGTGTTAGGTCTGAGTAATGAGGAATGATTTTCCCTTTCCTTCACAGAATAAAAGGGGATAAAAGCTAGCCATCCCAGTGTTCTGGGTTCCTCTGATCTGGTGGAACTCTCCCTCCTTCTAACATTAACTCCTATATGACAAAACCAACTAAGGAAGCACTTCTTTGAAGAACAAGGGAGATACTGGGAAGTTGTATCCTTATTCTCTTGTGTATTTTCTTTTGGCTTGATAAATGAAAAGATAGTAAAATAAAGTGACATAACCATAGCTGAGTGGATCTGACCTACTTCGCTGTAGATATCTGGACTCTGAGCAGCCTTTCGGGTAGGTTGGCCTAGCTTCAAAGAATATGTTTATCTATGCCTCTTGCCACATTATTTCACAGAATTTTGCACATCAGTCTTTTTACCATTTCCTAATATCATAGTGATTCAGTAATATTACATTTAGTGGTAATAAATTGTGTTCCTATGGCCTGAATTATATTTTCAAAAATACTTTCTCACAGTCTATTTTGTCCTCGGCCAGTTCTGACTGACTCTGACATTTTTGTTTCTGACAGTAAATATTAAGCACATTAAGCTGATTTGCTAGTATGACAGTCTTGGTACAAGATGTGACATAAAGCAATAATTTGCCTCAATTGCCATTTCACAATCAGTCAGTCCATTCATAGTTGATCATGAACTTTCAGGGATATCTACAGGGGATGATTACCAAGTTGTTAATTGTGCATATAACACATGGGAGTTCATCATTTTCCTCTTGTCTTTGGATTCTTGTCAATGCTTATCACTCAAGTGTTACTTGAAAAGGCCTCCAAGTAATTAGGCAAGGGTATAAAAAGAAAGATAATTTATTTAAAGGAAATTATCATTTATTTAACAAATAATTATTGGACATCTACTGCCTGCCAGGCATTAAAAAGGTAATGGGTATGCATGAATTAATTCACAAGACAGATATGGTTCCCACCCTCAGAGATTTTACAATTTAATGGGAGAGACATTTTTAAAAAAGCATTTATAATACATTGTGGTAAGTACTTTGGTAGGAGGAGTCCCTGGATGGCACAAATGGTTAAGCGCTTGACTATTAGCTGAGAAGTTGAC